ATCAGGGGACATCGGGGGATATTGAGGGACATTGGGGACAGTGGGGGACATTAGGGGACATTGGGGACATCGGGACATTGAGACATCAGGAGACATCGGGGGACACTGGGGGACATCGGCGACATCAGGGGACAGCGGTGTCACCTCCGAGGGACAGCCGGAGGGCGCCGGGAGCCGCCGGTTGTCCTTGAGGAGCTCCAGCAGGTGACAAACGATCTGTGCGGGCCGGCCCGAGCCCAGCATGCGCAGGAATTCCTGCGGGAACACCGGGAATGCGCTGGGAAACACCGGGAATGGGCTGGGAAACACCGGGGATGGGCTGGGAAACACCGGGAATGGTCTGGGAAACACCAGGAATGCGCTGGGAAACAGCGGGAATGTCCCAGGAAACACCGGGAATGGGCTGGGAAACACCGGGAATGTCCCGGAAAACACCGGGAATGCGCTGGGAAACACCGGGAATGCGCTGGGAAACACCAGGAATGGGCTGGGAAACACCGGGAATGACCCAGGAAACACCGGGAATGCGCTGGGAAACACCGGGAATGACCCAGGATACACCGGGAATGTCCCAGGAAACACCGGGAATGTCCCGGGAAACACCGGGAATGGGCTGGGAAACACCGGGAATGTCCCGGGAAACACCGGGAATGGGCTGGGAAACACCGGGAATGCGCTGGGAAACACCGGGAATGGGCTGGGAAACACCGGGAATGTCCCGGGAAACACCGGGAATGCGCTGGGAAACACCGGGAATGCGCTGGGAAACACCGGGAATGACCCAGGAAACACCGGGAATGTCCCAGGAAACACTGGGAATGTACCGGGAAACACCGGGAATGCGCTGGGAAACACCGGGAATGGGTTGGGAAACAGCGGGAATGACCCAGGAAACATCGGGAATGGGCTGGGAAACACCGGGAATGGGCTGGGAAACACTGGGAATGTACCGGGAAACACTGGGAATGACCCAGGAAACACCGGGAATGCGCTGGGAAACACCGGGAATGGGCTGGGAAACACCGGGAATGCGCTGGGTAACACCGGGAATGGGTTGGGAAACACCGGGAATGGGCTGAGGAATGGGATATCCCAGGGAAATGGGACAGCCCTGAGCACTGGGAATGGGCTGAGGAATGGGAATGAGCTGAGAAATGGGAATGAGCTGGGAAATGGGATATCCCTGAACACTGGGAATGTGCTGGGGACTGGGAATGTCATCCTGAGCACTGGGAATGTGCTGAGAAATGGGAATGTGCTGGGAAATGGGATATCCCTACGCACTGGGAATGTGCTGAGAAATGGGAATGAGCTGGGAAATGGGATATCCCTGAACACTGGGAATGTGCTGGGGACTGGGAATGTCATCCTGAGCACTGGGAATGTGCTGAGAAATGGGAATGAGCTGGGAAATGGGATATCCCTGAACACTGGGAATATGCTGGGGACCGGGAATGTCATCCTGAGCACCGGGAATGTGCTGAGAAATGGGAATGCGCTGGGAAATGGGAATGAGCTGAGAAATGGGATATCCCTGAGCACTGGGAATGTGCTGAGAAATGGGATATCCCAGGGAAACGGGAATGTCCTGAGCACCGGGAATGTGCTGGGAAATGGGAATGTGCTGGGAAATGGGAATGAGCTGGGAAATGGGAATGTCCTGAGCACCAGGAATGAGCTGGGAAATGGGAATGAGCTGAGAAATGGGAATGAGCTGGGAAATGGGATATCCCAGGGAAACGGGAATGTCCTGAGCACCAGGAATGTGCTGGGAAATGGGATATCCCAGGGAAACGGGAACAGCCCCGGGCACTGGGAATGTGCTGGGAAATGGGAATGAGCTGGGAAATGGGAATGAGCTGAGGAATGGGAATGAGCTGGGAAATGGGAATGAGCTGGGAAATGGGAATGAGCTGGGAAATGGGAATGAGCTGGGAAATGGGAATGTGCTGAGGAATGGGATATCCCAGGGAAACGGGAACAGCCCCGGGCACCGGGAATGTGCTGGGCACCGGGATGGCCACGGAAGGCCGATCCCAGAGGGAACGGCCGCTCCTTTCCCGGGAGAATCCTCACCTCTCCTTTCCCGGGAGAATCCTCACCTCCGAGGGGCTCCTGCTCTTGGAGCTGTAGGTGAAGAGCTCGTACAGGAGCACCCCGAAGCTCCAGGCGTCCGACGCGCAGGAGAAGACGTTGTCAGCCAGGGATTCCGGCGCGTACCTGCCGGGAACAGCCGGAAAAGGGCTGAAAAAACAGCTTCACCTGATTTCTATGGAATTTAGAAGTTTAATAAAAGTTTAAAAGTTTAAAAGTAAAATAGAAGTTTAATAAAGTGACAATTAGGAGATGAAAATAAAGTGACAATTAGGAGATAAAAATAAAGTATGCATAAATAATATCTCTTATAATATATATATATTATAATATATAGAAATAATATATATATAATAATACTTCATTATTTACGTGTTTTTTATGGAATTTAGGAGTTTGATCAAGGGGAAATTAGGAGATAAAAATAAAGTATACATAAATAATAAAGTATTATTATTATACATAAATAATAAAGTAATATTATATATATTATTTATATATATTATAATATATAATGTATAAAGTATATTATATATAATATATATAATATATTATATTAATATATAATATATAATATATAATATATAATATATAATATAGAATATAGAATATAGAATATAGAATATAGAATATAGAATAAATATATAATATATAGAATATAAAATATATAGAATATAGACTATATAATATATAATAGAATATAGAATATAGAATATAGAATATAGAATAAATATATAATATATAGAATATAAAATATATAGAATATAGACTATATAATATATAATATATATTATATATTATATAGTCTATATTATATATTATTAATATATATTATTATACATATTATTATGTATAAAGTATACATAAATAATAAAGTATTATTATATATATAATTTATAGATATTATAATAGATATTCATGTATATATAATTTATGTATACTTTATTTTTATTTCCTAATTGTCCCTTGATTAAACTTCTAATTCCATAAAAAACACATAAATAATAAAGTATTATTATATATATATTATTTATATATATTATAATAGATACTTATGTATATATAATTTATCTATATATTTGCGAATAATATTATAATATATCATCATAACATTATATATAACATTCGTTATAATATTTGCGAAATATATTTTTTATATTTGTATTTATTATTTAATTATATATATTATTTCTAGATAATAAATGTTATTTATATATATTATAATATATATTATTTATATATATATAATTCATCTATATATTTCCAAATATTTTTAATATATTTTTATTTCTTATTTTTTATGTATATTATTTATATATATAATATATATTATTTATATATATTATAATATATATTATTTATATATATTATTAATCTATATATTTGCGAATAATATTTTTTCTGTATTATTTTAATTATTATTATATTATTATTATATTATTATATTATTTATTATTTCTATATTATTTTTAGGTATTATTTTATTATATATATTATTTATATATTATAATATATATTATTTATATATATTATAATAGATATTATTTATCTAGATATATATTATTTATCTATATAGTTGCCAACAATATGATAACATATCACCATAACATTATACATAACATTCACTATAACACCTGCCAAAATCCAATAACAAGCCACCCATTTATAACCATAAATTTTTAATAAAATTTTAAATAAAATTTCCATAAAATAAATATCAACAACATTCATTCCGAGGGGATTCCCGAGCTGGAATCGCATCCCTCACCAGAACACGGGGCTCTGGCCGGGTTCCTGCACCACGTAATAATCCTTGTCCTGCGGGAGCAGCTTGGCCAGCCCGAAATCTCCGATCTTCACGTGGCTGTCGCTCTCCACCAGGATGTTCCTGCTGGCCAGGTCCCGGTGAACGCAGCGCCGAGCCCCCAGGTACTCCATGCCCTGCCGGGGGTGACAGAGCCCCCAGGTACTCCATGCCCTGCCGGGGGTGACAGAGCCCCCAGGTACTCCATGCCCT